TCATCATTTTATTGCAGTTTATATTTAATTATAATTATTATTATAATTGAATTATAAGACAATTTTGTTATACTTTTCTCAAACAAAAGTCATGTCTTTATATACTATTGAATGATGTCTTCAATGAGTGATAATTACCTAACAATTGATAAATAATTGGATTTAAGATAATATATTGTAAACAGATTTTTAGTTTTAATTGCAATCCTATTATTTTCATTGTTAATTAATTATAATACAAAAATATATCAATTGTTTGATAAGAAAATTGAAACGAATTAAACAATTTCTGATAATTTAATGAAATTCTAAACCAAATGAACCAAAACTAACACATGTTTAGAAATGGATTGAATTATTGCAGAATTGTATTGAAATAATCTTAAGTTTAAAAAGACTTTAAGTCAAGTGATTTGTTAATCCAATCAACAGTTAATATAGAGATAAACCAAAAGCACCAAAAAGGACACAATTATCGGTACAAGTTATACATGTAATGTATAGCCATCTCTTGCGGTCGTAACTATTTATTAGGTCTGACCGATACGGGAACCGCTTATTTCTGGGCCACTGTTGACGGCCACCAACTGAGTACTCTTGTGGTCAGAACCGCCGATCAGTAGATAAAGCACTGCACCGTTGCTGCCATTGCCTGTACGTCATGTACGGATTGATACAAATACGGGCTTAATATTTGAATTAATATTTTGAAACAATATGAAAATTATATACACATTATTTACAGTAAAATGTAATTTTATTTAGTGATAATATTTCAGTGCTTTGGGTTTATCTCTCACTTAACTATGGATTTGATAAATAAATCTTTGACTTAAAGTGTTGTTAAACTTAATATAATTTCAATACAATTGTGTAATATTTTTATGCATTTTTGATAACATTTTATTTTTGGTTCATTTGGTTTAAAATTTCAACAAATTATTGGTAATTCTCTATAGTATTTATCAAACATTTGATATATTTTTGTATTAAAACTAATCAATTGTTAACTGAAAATAATTGATGACTAATAATAAGATTGCGATAAAATAAAAAACATGTTTTCAATATATTATCTTAAATCCAAGTGTTTATCAATTGTCAGGTAATTATCACTTATTGAAGACATTATTCAATAGTATATAAAGACATGACTTTTGTTTGAGAAAAGTATAACAGAATTGTCTTATAATTCAATTATAATAATAATTATAATTAAATATAAACTGCAATAAAATGATGAAAATATTGGTAGCGTTTGTATCAGTCGTAGCCCTCGTCTCAGCCCATGATTTGGAGTCAATCGCAAGAAATGTGTTGAAAGAGTAAGAAAACTAAATTTCATTTATATTTAATATAATTTATTAATTATTGTTATATTTATAGCATTTCTGTTAATTTGGATTCAAACCAAACTTTGAATGAATTTTTGTCCAAAACTGATGTCAATAAAAGACCCGAAACTCAACTCAAATCTAACGACGGATTCCTTATAGTGGAGGGAATCGGAGCCATCGGTGCCCTCAAAGTGACCGTCAGTTCTGGCAAAAAGTCTTTGACGATTAGTAATGTCTACGGCTTGGGTGCGGGCGCTGTGGCCGACATTAATGGCCGCAAAAATGTGGACGAAAAACAAGAAGTGAAGACAATTACCGAACCTTTATATGAGAAATGTATGCAAAAATCCATTCATATGTTAAATAACTTTTTTATTAACAATTTTATATCCAATCAGATATGAAATCGTTGTCATCGAAGGACTCTTCAAATGGTCTATTGGTTTTGGCCGAAGGACTGAACGCTGGGGAGGCTGTGATCGCCACCCGTGAGGGTTGGCTCGACGTTAAGGGCGCCTCCGGTTTCAAACTCGGATCCTATACTGAGATCTCCACCAGTGGTTAAATTGCAACATAAATACAATACATGTCTATTTATAATATAAATAATTGTCCCAAAAATATCATATTTATTAAAACTTAAATTATTTAATAAAATACTTCGTAAATGTAAACTATTAATGACTTTTTAATAAAATGCACTCAAAATATATACAGTAATAATGATTGTTTAATATAATTGCGATTATAAGCGTTTAATACAATAACAAAATTATAATTTTAATCCAGTTGTCGACTTCACAGCGTATCCACGATTTGGTCGCGCATTTCGCTTCTTCTTGGGCGCAGACTTTGCCGCTACTTTAGCACCGGTTCTCATAGCAGTTGTGCCTCCACTTTGAGTGCCGCCCACTGTCTGTCCACCACTCGGTCCAGGAGTCAACACGAGTGCCGTACGGCTTATATGTTCATTACTGATGGGGTCAATACGATAGGGACACACGTGTTGGCCGTGGATGTGATCGGCGATCGCCGACGAGTGGGATGTCTTAAACTGTTTCGGACAGGGCGTGAATCGACACGAGTACACAGTTATACCATCTTTGTTCGCCCTCTGACCACGGTGCTTTATTATGTTGGACTTATGACAGGGCCCGACGGGTACAGTGGGGTCGGCGTCGAAGTTATAGCCGCACCGATGGTCGGCCAGATGTGACCGCAACCGCGTTAGTGTGCGATACGCGCGGCCACAGCCCTCGCGATCGCACCGATACGGCTGCCCGTTGTCGGCGGTGGTGTCGACGACCCCGTGAACGCCGGCCACGTGCCAGTCCAGGCGCCGACGGCTGCCGCACGTGTATTGGCAGCCCTCACGAGCGCAACCAATGGTTTGTCTCCTGTGTCTAACCCTCGCCTTCTTCTGACCGGACGAACGGTTCAGTCGTTTGGCAATTGGTTTGTGCGACTCTTCAGCGCCGCTCCCGCTGTCCGACCCATCGGTGCGGATGTGGTTAATAGTGTCCACTAGAGTGTGACTCTCGTCACTGTCTTCGCCGTCAGTCGACACGACTATCGGCTCATCGATGGACGCGTTGTTCATCGATTGGTCGCCCGTTTGTCGCGAGTGGTGTTGTGTCCGCACGTGTGCAACGATCGCCTCTTCGCTGGCCTCCACTTCATTGCATTGATTACCGCCGATGAGACACATGTACCACATCTGGCCGTTGATTAGCGCCGATTCGTACCACTCTTTGACTGAATCCATATCTTCGTTGTCGACAATAGTGTTGTTATCGATTGTATGGTTTGCTATGAATTGCAGTCATTATACTAACAACAAAATGGACACAAATTACGGCAAACTTAGGGTTGAGTTGTCTAATGAAAGCCTTTAGAAATTGTATGCAATATAGAAATGGGAGTTAAATATAGAGCACATTATTTATGGTATACTTTGAATGTTTTAAAAAACTTTTACCATATTTTGTGCCAAATTCACAATTAATGTCTCAATCCATGGATAAGATTATTAATGTGTTAACTGATTAGCGATGGCTATGTCTTCACAACTTAAGACAATTGAAGTTAATTTGATATTTGTTTTCATTGTATTTAATATGCAATTTATTTTTAATTAACTTTAAGTTTTATATTTGATAAAAAAAATGATTTTTATACAAGTAAATTAATGATAAATACATGACATATATTGTAATTAATTATAGATTCAGTGATTATTTAGCGGACACTTTAGTGACAGATCCGACAACAAAGCCTCCGATTAAACCACTTTCCAGTTTCCCGTTGTTTGCCGTGATTTGGGATCCGGTGGCCGACCCGTGGGCTACGAGTACTCCCGTCTCAGACGTGGATAACGTTTTCTGGGAGTTTAGGTCTGGATTAGAGAGAGAGAGAGAGAGAGAGAGAGAGAGAGAGAGAGCCTTACAGAGATACGCAACGCTCTGAATAATTTTATATTATAGAGATTACGCAATAAAAATTAAATTACTTAAATATAAATTTTAAATAAAACATTATGGTGCTTAAACACAAACACATTATTTAATTGCGTTTATTAAACATAACATTTTTGAAGATAGTTATCAATCTATAATCAGGTTTAATATTAACATCAAAATTAACTAAATCTAATAACTATTATATACTGTAACTTTGATACATATCATATAATATATTAAATTAATATAACAAACCATCTGGAATTTGTAGAGTTAATTATTAAATTATACAATTTGTGACCATGTTTTTAATTTAACAATTTAGTATAAAGGATGTTATAACCCTTCCTATAGTAATTATAACTATAATATAGTATACAATTGTCACACAAATAATTTAACATAATCATGTAAGTAATGAAATGGCTTAAAAGTTTTATTATTGTATCAATATAAAAATCTCTCTGCCAATAGGTTAACATGGTTGTCACTATTTGTAACAATCACATTTGGTGCGGTCGCGTATTATTTGGCATCATTTTATTACAATCTTCGTAAATACCCACCTGGTCCAACACCTCTACCATTAATCGGCAATATATTATGTGAACTAACATTTATTTTGACAAATTAATTATTTACTGTATTATTAATAATAATTTCTATATTATAGTGTTTAGAAATCTAAAACAACACATAAACCAAGAATTGGCACAACTATACAAATTGTATGGACCGGTGGTCACGGTATGGGTCGGTCCGCTCCCAATCGTATTGATCAGTGATCCGGATATTGTTAAACAAGCGTTTAGTAAACTTGAATGCTTTGGAAAATTTCAAGCAATATTTGGTATATATTGAACCTTGACCAATTGTTACATATATTTACAAAATTATACTTTGTTATATTGGATTGTTTATACTGTATTTTAGTACACTTTATATTATATTTTATTAATATTTACAGTATAGCCTGTAGTGAATCTTGTAAATTATTACTCTATTGCAAATTATTTGTAATTATGCAAAAGTTATACAACAATAATATTTAACAAAAATTTATTCTAGGTAATATTTACAACACCCACAAACATTATGATGTGGTCGTAAACAATCACTTCAAGAGTTGGCAATGGCTTAGAAAAATGACTCAATCAAGCATTAGGTTTTTGAATCTCTATATTAATTACTTGACACTAAATAATTGTTTAAATAGTTGTGGATTTTGTTTATTATAAAACAATATTCTATTCACTTATTTATTAAAACCACAATTTTATGCACTAATTAGAAAATTTACAAAATCAACGAATTTCACACAATTAGTGAACACAACTGTTGATCAAATCTTTACGCAAATGTTGGTTAAAGAAGGCATTAATCGGCCGTTTAATCCCAAAGACTATTTCAATGCAATAATTATGGATGTCTTTAATGCTGCCATTTTTAGCCATAAGTACAGTTTACCTAGGACAACCATTTTAAAATTGTTTTTATTAATTTTAATTTGTTTAATGAAGGTTTAACCAAAAAATGACCACAAAATTTCAATATGCTAACATAGTTTTTACACATGACGTTAAAAATTCATACGCGATATACGAGTTTATACCCATATTTCGATATTTTATGTCCAATCCTTTTGAAAAATTACAACAAATATATAACGAGTGCTTTAATTACACAATTAATGAATTGAAAAGCCGTGAAAATACTTACGACGAGAGTAATGATCGAGATTTTTGCGATCAGTTTATCGGCGCTAATCGTAGGGCAGAGTCGGAAAGTAAGCCGGGCTTTGAGTATTTGAATCGTGACAACAGTGCGGCAGTAATTATGGACATGTATTTGGGTATGATTTAAATGATATAGTGTCGACAAAAGTATTTATATTAATTATTGATTACATTTTAAATAATTGCCACATAAGCGGGCCCTGATACCACTTCTCATGCACTCTTATGGCTAATATTATTGATGACATATTATAGCGATTGGCAAAATGTTATGCGACAAGAGATCAGCGATCAATTGGGCGATAGGGCGCCGGTTGTAGACGACAAACAATGTTTGCCTAATGTTATGGCATTTCTATATGAAACGGTTCGTTATAGAAACGCCGCACCGCTTGGCTCACCACATATGGCTCTGGAAGACATGACAATAGGTTTATATGGATTGTAGAATATTGTTACTATCGTGGTTATTTACTAATCCAATTATTACCTGACATTTATAACAATAGGCGGTATATATCCAGTTCCTAATAAAACAATAGTAATTCAACATTCATATAGTATACTGAGAGATGATAAATATTGGCAAAATGGCGAGCAATTCAATCCGGCACGTTTTCTAGACGACCATGGGTGTTTCAGATCACAACGCCCTTCAGCGTACATTCCGTTTGGTACGGGTATGCGGACGTGCCCTGGTGAATTAATGGCAATCAATGGTCTGTTTTTAATTATGGTAAAGTTTCTTCAGTACACTCGCGACCATCCGATACGACTGACCGACAAATATCGTACACCAGAGAGCATAGAACCCGATCGCGACGGAAATGCTTTTGTTTTTAATACTATTGATTTTGATATTGTTTTCGAGAAATAATTACTTTTCATATAAATTGTATAGTTATTAGAATATATTTCATAAAACAATTTTATCAATTTCTAATCTTAATTTGGTGTTTTTAAATTTTAATAACAAGTTCAATTAAAATACTGTTCATTAAGTAAAATACTAGTATCTATTAAGTAAAGGAAATGGTATAATTTATATCGTATAAATATAAACATTAACAAGTACAATTTCATATAGTGTATTATGTGCAGTATGTAACACACATTATGTATTTTATAAAATTTAAAGTTTAAACAATAATGTATAAAATATAACGTATTTATTCAATATGCAATTTATATTAATATATCTATTTTTTATTGTGAATATTAAAATGTAAGGAATAAAACATAATACATGTACTTTATATTAAATTGTAATGAGTTTTTATTTTTATGTTTAAATTACATTAAATAAATAATTAGACCCAATATTTTAACCGCGAGTAGAGATCTCAGTATAGGATCCGAGTTTGAAACCGGAGGCGCCCTTAACATCGAGCCAACCCTCACGGGTGGCGATCACAGCCTCCCCAACGTTCAGTCCTTCGGCCAAAACCAATAGACCATTAGAAGAGTCCTTCAATGACAACGATTTCATGTCTGATTGAATACAAAATTGTTATTCAAAAAGTTATTTTTAAAATGAATTGAGTTTTGCATACATTTCTCATATAAAGGTTCGGTAATTGTCTTCACTTCTTGTTTTTCGTCTACATTTTTATTACCATTTTTGCCGCCATTAATGTCGGCCACAGCGCCCGCACCCAAGCCGTAGACATTGCTAATCGTCAAAGACTTTTTGCCAGAACTGACGGTCACTTTGAGGGCACCGATGGCTCCGATTCCCTCCACTATAAGGAATCCGTCGTTTGCTTTG